TGTAATAATACGTTGGTACAATGATGAAACTGCGATGACATTATGATGAAAACGCGATATTATATTCACCATCATGTCAACGAACCATCGTATTTTCACCATCCTGTCATCGTTGTTTCATCATTGTGTCGTCGTGTTTTCATCATCGCACCATCGCGTTTTCAAAATTGTACCCTCGTGCATAGTGGATCAGAGAGACAAACGTTGTTGCTTATGTCCAAACGAAACACCTGTTTAAACGATACAATATCGTGACTCGTTTCGCATCTCGCTGGAATCTCGCCCCTCGCTTCGCATCTCGTACTTCGATGTGAGACAAGAATATCCTTCGATATATAGTATTCCCTTTATAATCTATATAAAACGGACGTTTTTCGAAGATCTACAAAACATAGCTAGACTCATTTTAGAGAACAAATCATGACTTATGATAAAACTGATAAAAGTAGGAGTCATGCATCTCTTTAGAAAATGTCTAGCGTCACATTTGTTAACATAAAACCACTTACAAAATCTACTATGACGTGGAAGAACCTCCAATATTAAAATTGAAATTAACTTTATCAAGTACAACCTTTGCTCGCATTTTTTTACCAAAATGTCAAAAAGATATCAATGATGAAATTTAAACAGAAAATAACTTAAATTTAGATGTCAGTGGCCATGCTAAGTGAAAAAATGTGGTCCATTACGACAAGGCCAGATGGCTCCGCGCTGGCTCCTTTACCATAGTGAAACCTTTGAGAAGCACAGACACGAAGCGATGCGCGATATTTTACCGAGAGACACGACATAAAAAGCGAAAGTCCGACAAAACATGAAGTGAGGCACGATATGCTACTTTGACATCTTGTGGTACGGGATACTTCGACTTTGCGAGATCTCGTGTTACAATATCGTGCATCGATTCGTGTCTCGTCGGAATTTCCCGTCTCGCCCGATTATGCGAGGCCGATATTCCATAATTATTGCATTACCCGGATTATTTTAGGGACTCATACACGTTGTAAGAGCTTTTTCAATGGCGGATCTGTCGGAAAATGGCGATATTTTATCTGACGAAAACAAAATATGTATGGAATAGTTTTCTCATTTTCTTCCTGAGATCATGAAGTGGCCTCCGTGGCCGAGTGATTTCAAAAAAACCACTTCCCCCTAACCGCTGTAGGTTCGACACTCCTATATGGGGCGTCGAACTATTCATGCGAGGAAGCCCAAATGCGTGCGGAATATGTACTTATCCGCGTGCACACGCAATAACTATCCCTTTAGAAAGTAATAGCTATCGCTTTGCACGTAATAGTATCAGTATTGCTCTGCCACATAATAGCTATCGCTTGCGCACGAAATAAATAAGAAAATACAATGTCCCGTTTATGCAACCGTAGATTGCTTAGACTTTTTTTTAATCATTTATAAAGCTTAAAATTAAAGCATCCACAATCAATAACGATAAGAATGGATATTCTGTATATGTGTTTGGGCTCTGGATACTGCACTGGTAGAAATTTTCATTGTGACATACAGAACAGGGATATTCTTTAAGTTAATATGTGACTCCTATGCAGAGGCAGGAGTGTTTGATTGACCGGAAGTGACCTAAAAACGGTATTATTAATACAGAAAACACAGGACAATTGCAGATAGCCGGTATACGGACGGGCATAATTATTACCTTTTTAGAATTTTATGAAAGACTGTGAGACAAATGTGCTTTGAGTGTCCTTTCTATTGCTGGTCGAACACATCTGTCTCATTTCCAATTTGTCGCAAATATGAATGATTGCGAGCACATCGGTCACACATCGTGAGACAAATGTGTTCCGAGACAAATGTGCTCCTACACCGCTGTTTTACCCCGAAGCAAGAATAAATCTTAATGATAATCTTTGATTTTGCATTTTTTATATTCTTGACATGAAATTTATGTATACATAAGTCAAAATTTTCATGTTATAACTGTAATTGAATGACCAGTATTTACAGAGACATTGATATTATCTCTGGTATTTACGCATTCAACCTACAATTCCCCATTTGCGTCACATCCGGTAAGGGAAGTTCGCTTAAAGAAGTGTTTTCACACCGTAGGTTTACAACATCAATATATTCATACACATTTGTTTTAACCTTTTTATAAACCTATTTTAGACACAGAAATATTTGATATTGATTTTGTTTTGTAATTTTGAAATAATCGCATGATAAAAACGGTGATAACACTTTTGATTAGTTTTGAAAAGATTGCTAATATAAACGTAACAAAACTTCATAGTTCCTGAAAAGATATTTGCTTTTATTTTTCAAAAATGTAACATTGGATTCGTACGATCCCTTTTCTTTTCTTCTGAAAACATTGAAATTTCTTTAATAACTGAGTTCAACAATTATGTAATTTAGTTCTTTCCCCGCATATGACCAATGTGAAATTTATGTATTTATCCCTCATGCTTTTAAATGGACTTTTGTCAGTACAGTTTTTAACATATCTTGAAAAATATATACAAATAAAAAACGGTTTATAAAGTAGTTAAATGGTAAAAGTTGATGGAATCCCTTTAAATTTATTTTCGTTTAAAACTTGTTTATTATTATAAATGCGTGCGATTTCAAACATTAGTATATGAACTATGTAATGACTTCGGTTTAAGGAAAAGATCGTGAGTGTGTGCCTGCCATTACACAGAAACAACGGTTACTCGTGCGAAAATATTTTCACAGAATGTAAAAAAAAGACATCATGCATGATTTTAAAAAAAATAAGTAAAGTTTTAACTGAGAACGCGTAGGCAAAACATGAGTATACATAGAAATAATGGATTTATGAAGGCTTAGAATCTAAAAATAAAGCAATGAGTTAAATGGTTTTGTTGAAATTTGAGTCGTATAGTATAGTGACATTCATAGGAGCATGTGAATTAGACGTCCAGAAAAAATGACAATGTTAATTAAATGACACCTTATCAAGCTCCTTTAATGCATTTATACATGAATGCATATACTATTGTATATTGAGCTCTTTCATTCAATATGAAATTGTTGTATCAGACAAATAAAGTGTCGCGAAAACTAGAGTCATTCAAAGTACACGTTTACCTTAACTTCTTCAAAGTTAAACTGATCATCGTTGTTGCAGAGATTTTCATAGTCAATTAGTTTGTTGCTCGGAGTTTCATCTTCATACTCACTGTCTTCTTTCATTGACAAATAATCTAACTTCCTGATGTACGTACCAAGTTTAGGACGTGCTGAAATTGTTAAACACTGTTCATTTACTTTAATTTCAACTAATCTCATATACTAGTTGTATATGCATAAATTGGTGAACAAAGTTTAAGATTTGACATCCAATGACACAATGTAATGTTACAATAATAGCACGGATGTATATGTACATATACATCCGTGATAAAAGCAAATATCATAAAAATGTGAATACTGCAGAATATAGCAGATATAGCTTATAGAAATATTGAACATATTGACGACCTAAATTAACTAGTGCTTTTTTTAAAAATTCATATTCATTTAAGGATAGAAAACTGTTTACTAAGAATAAAAGTAAAACATAAAATGTACTTACACATTTTTGTTACTTCTCGTAGAGTCCTGCTAAATAATCCTTGTCCGCATTGTATACTAAATAGCAAGTTTTAACTAAAGTAATATTATGAGACTGAAAAATCAATGGATCAATATATAACGTATAGTCTATAAATAGATCAAGGTATGTTATGAACCTATAGTTACAGCAAACACTGTGAGAAAAGATCTATATAGGTATCGATAAATTTGATAAAACTGCTTAACTTTGAATCCAAATTACGCCACAATTATCGTGTATGTAGAGTTGGGACACTTGTTTAGGTGGTTTGATATTGACTTATGTAGTATTTTAAGTAGGATTACAAGGTTATTTTGTAGTGGTGAATATATTGATATAGTGTACTGGCCAATTCTGCCTTACCACTTTTTTAACATTTAAGTCACATATTTGTATAATTAATGGGTTATTTTTGCGTCAGTAATGCTTTTACAAAATATATTTGAGCCGCGTCATGACAAAACCAACATAGTGCGTTTGCGACCAGCATGGATCAAGACCAGCACAGTCTGATCAGGATCCATGCTGTTCGCTTTCAGTTTCTCTACTTGTAAAAGAGTTTGTAAGCGAACAGCAGACTGCGCACTATGTTGGTTTTGTCGTGACGCGGCTCATATCTCCATCCGAACCTGTATCAAGTGACTGTTACATCTTCCGGTAACCATCTTCCGGTCAAGTCAACCGATCCACAATAAATGTTGGGTATATGATGATATTTTCATTGCAAATCTATGCTGAGTCAACTATATTATTGCTTAGTTTGCTAATTTACTATTATCAAATACTTAAGGCAGAATTGACATGGAGTTAGAATGTGCAAATAAAAAATACAGGAACAATGTTCTGATATATATTTTTGTCCCACTTTTGAAGCTTACATTTAATCTCATCTTATAAAACACATAATTGGGCATCAATGAACGACATATCGTTTCCCAGAGGTTGCAATGAAACATGATCGTCTAATTTCATATGTATTTTTATTTACTTATTTATCTATTTCTGGTTGTTGAAGACAACGGATGGTCCCGGAAAATGACGCGCACGCACACAAAAAATGTCAGATTACGGCTTTCCAGTGTAAGAAGACATCTGCTACACTTCCGTCGATTATTTAAGGCATGAACGGGCACCTGAGTAGAACTAACTGGCTAGATAGCTTCTCAATTGAAATAATCCAAAGTGAGGGAAAAGTGATGGTATGCGAAAAAACAGGTTAGTACTTATGCAGCTTGATAAATTATCTTATAGGAATGTCTATGAAAGTGAACCCATCAACAATACATAATAAAAGAAAAAAGCGTATAATTTTGAAAACAATGTCTAGACTTCCTAGTCTAAAGATGAGCGATTCTTGAGTTGCTGAAAGCACCAGAACCAATACAAGAAAAAAGTGTAACAAAATGTAATATTTATACAAATCAATTGATTCGTACGGACTTCTAAAAAAGCCGTATTACACAATCTTTGTTAGTTTGATAGTAATAAAATGCAATAATATATAAACTTAATATGCCACGTTGCAAAAGAGCATTTGCATTATGCTGTTAGAAAATACACAATGTAGTACACATTAAATTCACAGTCTTAGTCTATTTGCACCAATCATGAGTTTTCATAAAAACATTTTGCTTATTTACAGAATTCTTTTAAGAATTATTCCGCGTCATAAAATGGAAAGTAGAGCTGTCTGTCCGTTCCAAAATCGGATGTTCTGTCGAATGATGATCAGTTTGACCGCGATATGTGACTTCCGCTGTAAATTCTGGTTGTGTAGATATTCGTAGTTCTTCGTACACGGCTCCATCTTTTGGTGGTATGTGATCTTCTAAATAACCATGTGATCTGCCTAACGCAGGAAGTGCGACCGGATACTGAGTGTGAGGATTTTTTGAACGTTCCAGATAAGTGTCAAAGTAAGACAAATCCGTATCTCTCCACGATGGCTCGTGTCCAGCATGGCTCGCATGCTCGCGATATTCTTCAGGCACTGTATAACCATCACGTGATCGCGATGGATTTTGATTTCGAGGATATCTGTCAGGTGTAAAGTGTTCCGGGTAATCCACGTGACCGTTAGTTCCCCAGGCGTCTGCTTGCTGGTCATCAAACGAGTACGCAGGAGGATGATCAATGCTTCTTCGACTATTTTCTGTACGGAAAATGGACAAATCTACCATGTTTGGCTGATCGTCTAAACCTATACGTTAAAATAAACAAAATGAATAATGTAGAATCTACACTACATTCCTTTTCAGTACAATACACATGTTAGAGTTGGCAGGTATGCACAGAAGTTCTACAAAAGTAGGCATATTGGAACTATTTTCTACATTTGGTCTCGGCAGTTTGCCTTTGTAACGACTGACAAATTAAGTGACCCAATTTAAAAAATGGTTCTAACAATGGTCAAATATTGCAGGCATTTATACTGAGTCTAGCCTCTCTCAATTTTAGTTCGATTTCCACAGTTGGTTGCATAATTGTGAAATCAGAAATATTCGGACGCGTTTGCTTAATGCGTGCGTACTTAGTATCTAATATGTGCACAGGGCTCATACATTAGAATAATGCGCGCACGTTTTCATTGCGTATGTTGTCGACCCACGCGCATGCATTAATTTTACATGCACGCATTATAATTAAAAACGGGAACACGTGATAATAATATGTACACTCGTAGTAGTCAACACGTTCCTATGTAAAGATAGGAAACACGTACGTGATACCATGCCACCTCATTAATGCCATCAAACTAAATCGGTGTTTCTTCTATGAAGTATGTACTTGAAATAATATGCTCCTAGAGACACCCTAGATCTTCCTCATTAGTGAAGCTTGATAATCACTATCTGAACAGCGTCACTCAGTGTAAATTGGAATAAAACAAATAATTAATTAACAACAAATGAAATTTAAACATAAAAACTGCCCTTATTTACCTCCATTATTTTGACGAGTTCCAACCTGTTCTTTTTTCTTGTTTTTCTGTTTCACAATCAGGAATATTGAAACAGTGACCACAAAAATGATAAATAGCCCCACCAATATAAAGGCAAAAATCATCCACCAATTTCTGTAAAACATGGACCAAATAAATGTCTTTAATCTATTTTTTTGCTTTTCAATTCTATTAGACAGTTTGTATGATTTTTGCAAGATTGCAGGCTTGTAAATAATTTTCATTATTGTTGCTGTTATCGTTAACATTATCATCATCTTCTTCATCTCTTTCTTTTTCATCATCATCATAGTCCTGATCATCATCAAATACCACCACCATCATCTTCAATTTTGATATTAACATCATCATCATCATCATCTTGATTTAACAACAAAACAGCCAATATCATGTAACATATACAGCACAGTATAGCTTTTCATGTTTCAATTTGAAATTACATTTTAGTAGCAGACACTTGCTGCCGGAATTATACTGGCATACAAACATTAGATAAATAATAGATATGTTTTATCCGACAAGTTCAGTATTATTTTGTGATTTATATGTTCATTTTTTTTTAAATTTTAGAACAATATAAAATAACGTACATATCATTACAACATTTTTGTTCGTCCAGATCCCCGCAACATCCATGCTCACATGATATTGACTGGAGCCTCTTAGGGTCTTCACTCTTGTAATGACAAATCTCGGCCGCAGCTGGCAAAACTATATACCCTGAAATAACACAAAAAAATTCACCTATAAGCCAAGACACGAACTGTAACAATTCAAAATGTGAGGGAAGGGTATTCTTGAATTATATGTACCACGTGCTAGATAACGGACCTGTCTTATAATGTGACGTAACTGGTGATAGTGAACTCAATCCATTTATTAAGAAGACAACAATTACAATGATGTCCAAGTTTAATAGATCAATTATTCTATATTATTTTACGTGTGAACGTTTATAAGCTAAGCGTTTTGTTTTTATTTGTATATTATTCAAATTATCATGTAGTGTTATTTCCTGATAGCTTCTTTCATTTTCTTAGAATATTTCCCGATTTTCTCTTAGATATTTCTTTCTATAATAAAATATTGGCCGCCTTTATACTCTTACTATTATATATTACGTTCACTCATTATCCTTCTCTTGTTGTTATTATTATTATTATGTTAATTATTAAGTGTTTTCATAATGGCCTTGTTATTGGGCTGAAGACTTTTTCTCTTTTTTGACCATAAAATTAAATAATTCCCCTTAAATTTTTTGTATTGGCTGAATTTAGATGAAAGTAGTCCGGCAAGACACCAGTGAAAATACGGAAATATGTTTCACTGGAGTGAAAAATAATGTTTTACTTAAATACGGAAAATGAAAATACGCATTTTATTTAATAACAGTTCTCAATATTTCATTTATAAGTACATAATAAAAACCTCATTATTAACAAATAGTTGCAAGTATCCGGAAAATAAACAAAATTAGAATATGTTCATTTATATGAACTAATATACGCAAACATAATAACTTAATATAATACAGAAGTATGTCAATCAAATCAACATGAAAACAGTTTAAACACTTACCTAATATAACAAGAAAAACGACGATGTTCATAATTATTTTCATTCCTTGTAAATATTTTATTTTGCTTTTCTTTTTCTTCTAAAAAAATAAATGGCGTTTTAACTACAACAGTTAATGGGTCGTGGGTTTCAAATTACAAAAATTGTTTGAATGAATCAAGATATATTGATAAAGGTATTGATCTGTTTTGAAATGATATATCCTAACCGAAACCTACATAAACTGACCTTTATTGTATAGGTTTATTGTTGTTATTATAAAACATATATAAGTATTCTATTATTATAACATAATTGCACGACTTTTAACACAATTTGTGGCGATGGATCAAATGAATCAATCAATCATTTTATACATTTTTACGCGACTGTTAATATACTTCTGATAAAAAGTAGTATCCAATTAAAGAATTAAAATATTAGAACTGACGAGCGGAATTTTTGCTTTGAATCGGATAATTCTATAAATCCTAGACAAATTCCCTCCAGGACAATTATCCTCATTTATTTTGAGTGCAATTTGACAATTCCCTCCCGTTATTTTCTCATCAAAGAAATACTAACTTGATTAAGTATCTTTAAAAATATTTTTTATATATAACGGTCAATATGTAATGCTAATTATTGTTTATTAAACCACGTCGATTAGAGCAGAATAACGATTTGACGTTGTCCGTCCAGACGTCCGTCCTTTCTTACAGGAGAATAGTAATACTTATGTGGCTAGAGGAAAAATAGTTAACTGTAGATTCTACATTTTCTTTTCTTTTTTCATTAATTCTGTAAGCTTTTATGGGTAGAACAATGTAGAAACCACTTAAGAACTGTCTCGTTAGAAATTATACACGTCTTTCCGTTCTTCACAGGGAGAGCAATGGGATAGTCATATAACTTCCCATCTGTGAGACCTTCCGTGTGCCCGGTATCCCTACATCACAAATTGAATGAAGTTTTAAACTGTTAAACGTGAATTTTTATGTAATGGACCTTAAACTTCAAATATGGTTACATCGCATTAGGAAGAAGTGCAGTACCCAAGAGCCATAACATAAAATATTGATGTTATTGCTCTCTTTGAAATTTTCATACAAAATTTTATTTCAGGGAACAAATTTAGAAGAAATGAGAATATCAACTTGAAACTTCATCAAAGATGTAATTCTCGAGTTCTTGCCAAGTTTATTACAATGTCCTTAATTTGTGTGTGGGGAATAACTAAAACAAATACTGGATCTATCAATTTTAAACTTCACAGAAGAATAGATCTCATAGATAAAATGCAATGCAATAATTCTCAATTGTGAATTTGTAATTGTTTTTACTGAATTTCTGCCATAGGCATAAATAAGACACCGCTCATTTCTGTTTGTAATACTCTGAGGGACATAATACAATCAAATAATTTGTACCATTCGACGAATTTGCTTGTTCTGGAAATGTTTTAAAAGAAATATTTCATTTTAAAGCTGATAGACAAGGCATGTAAGGTGACTTCACACAAACATTGATCAAGTGTTCAATATACATCACTGAACTATTATTGTTAAAACAGACAGTGTTTGTCCCAAGATGATTCTTTAATTCCATCTTTAAAAAGGAAAATCCTGGACATTCATCATTTCATACACAATTAAGGTACACTCGAACTGGACTGACAACTTTTCGTTAGTTAAATATCTAACGGTCCTTTTAGCACAAACAAATTTAAAGCTTTTCTTGTTACAGTTGCAAAAAAACGCACTCGATGGCCATATATTGTTTTGTGTACTTGATAAAGATTAAATGACAAATACAATTTTGTTTACGACAAATCTTTTCACATTCAACACTACTGTATTCTCGTACAAAGCATTTAACTCTGAATTCATTCTAAACATCATAAAACACATGTTTGTCCTTTATTAAGTTTAATGCGCCATTTACTTTTAAATAATTCAAAATCCCCTGGTGGTATGATCGTGATCATCAACCTTAACCTAATAAATTTCTTAAATGAAATTATCGTCTTCAAATTTGTATATGTCATTCACTCAATGATCATTTTTGAGGATATCAAAATTAAAATGTTAAGTTGGGCAGCTAACAACATAGAGCCTGAATAAACAGAGGCTGGTTTCGACCTGGATCTATATTCCAATAAAGGAAGGGTCACAAGTTTTTTTTTTAAATATATATTTTTAGAAATACAACCTAATGCATTAAATTTTGCTACCTCATTTTTTCCAGAATAATCTTTATTCTAAAAAATATTACCTAAAAGTGAAGAAGCGCACGAAATTCAATTCAATTCAAAGTACATTTATAATATTTTGTACATTTTTTTCCATTAAAATGCGCCAGTTATTCAATTTAAAAAAATCAAATTTTATATACAAGGATTTTGGACCAGAGTTAAGTTCCTTTAACTCCCACATCACCACTGATATACTTAAAACTACAATCCCTGTTTACAAATAAACTGTTTATTTTGATATAATTATAATATATGTACTATTTTATAACAATTAGAATATGGATAATGTAAAGATAGGTAAAATTTCATACAAAAATATTGATTACATAACAAATAAAGTTGTTGTCTCTTTAACAAAAATCAGGCTTTAATCATTGTTTTAACAAAAAAAAAGACAGCAAGATGGACCAAGTTTGAGTTATTAGTTAATGGAAACTATATAACAAGTTCCAGGGGCTGTTGTAAAAGTTGGTGTCAGGGTCGTGATTCATAATATACACTTTGCTGACTCTAATACCCAATGCTGCATATCAAATATATAAGACTGTGCCTTTAATGGTATAATTATTCTTATATAAAAATGTATTCATGTATAGAGTTTTACATAAGTTTAGTAATGTAGTAATAATATTTCATCAAGAATTTGCAAATGACATTGACCTTTATCTTAAGCTGGGACGAAATACGAGGGATGATCAAAAATAAACCGGACTGTGACTGGCAATTGAAGAATTTTCATCCTATCACTTATTGTTATATATCAAACTTAATCGGAAAACAATACCTGTAAACTGATACTTTATTTAATCAGATAACGCAAATAGCTTGTCCGTAACAGCGAATTCAAACACCATGGTAACGCACACCCGGCGCAGTGCCTAAATTCGCCTTGACATGAGGCGCTTTATGCTGCGTGTATTTTATAATATGGCACATTTAGAGTTCAAAATGCGCCAAAGCGTCATGTACCATATCTTTGACGTTGTCAGTAAAAATGACTTTATTTAAACCATATTTATATTTACAATCACAATTCAAACGTCACATGTTAATTAAATTCTCGCGTTAAAACTATGTCGTCAGAATGTCTTGAAAATCGATCAATAGGAAAAAAGTGTCAAATGTAAGACGAGAAACTGTTTAAAACGTAGAAATAGATTATGGCTATCAAGGGAAAAGTTCCAGAAAGCCACAACATATTTTTTGATTAGCTTAAAATATTAAGAAAGGATAATAGAGAAATAGAAACAAGTAAGGGAGAGACAGAAAAATACAATTTTAAGGACGTTGGTGACGTCAGTCGCCAAGACGTTGAAAAATGACAGTCGATTGACTGCTGACATTATCAACGATGTTCGAAAGTAACTACGGGACAGTGCAGTCAACTCTGAGGATCTTAAAATGATAATAGTTAATGCATTAATTGCATGTATTGTTTTCTTGGTTTACAATTGTATCAATTATTTTCTTATTTTACGCAGTAGTCTTATGGAGAAATTGTGTCAACAATTTAACAGCCACTGTTCAAATTGGCTATGCGTTTTATTTATTTTAAAATAATGACAATTTTGATCATAGTTGTATTATTCTGTTATGTTTTCGTATGTATGATACATTTTTTATCATTTTTATCATTCAGCAACATTATTTTATATTATTTGTAATACATAATATAGTTAATTGCATGTGCGATTTTTTCAACAATCAAGTTACAGAAGGAAATAACGGAAGTTTGCGTCATAACAGGAGCTCTTTATCATCATTCATTCTATTACAAAACAATATGATACCCACTTGTACAGAAATATATATAGGCAGTGGATCTGCCGCATCAATAAGATGACTGTACCACATATTGGCCTACTTCGTAAATGAGTAAAAATCTGCCCCGTTAAGGACAATACGCTTGTGACGTCGTTAACGTCAATTTTAAAGTTATACCGTGCGCCGCATTGCTTTACATGTGCATGCCAATAACAGCATAACTTTTTTCTTTGTTAATATTTCTTGTTGGTATTTTTTGTATCATTTAGGGGAAAGATTCCGATTTATTTTCCGTGTATTGTTATGTAAATTCATTTAACAGGTTAAGAATCATTTACAAAGTCCGGTTAATTTTTGATCATCCCTCGTATATCGTCTGTCCCAGATGCAAGGAAGCCCAAACATGCAGTTTTAAGCTACATAGAATTCCTAGATCACATAAACAAAATGGCTTATCACAAACATTAAAAATTCACTGGCTTTTGACATAAGGTGAAAGCAAATACTGAAGTATCATCAGCCAATCATAAGCCAATGACTTGAATTGTCATAAGGTGCCAACAACTATTCAAGCACGATAATGATCATGATAATTCACAAGTAAACACTGTGTGCTCAGGTGAACTAAAAATCTCTTCAACCATGACTTAAAATTGTCAAAATTGTAAAACATTAAATATATGTTGGAACATTGCATTTAAATAAATGATAATCTAATATTTTCTAATTCAATACCCTGTCTGTATTTAACTGACATAGCAATTTTCTCTGGGACTTCTAGACAGAAATGTCTTGGATATAATGTGTAAAAAGTAATTTCTTGGCTAAACCATTTACAGAAATGATATTGTAAATGTAGAATGAGCATTTTATCTGGAAGGGATAAGAAGGGAAGAAATTTTGCTGCAAAAAGCACAGCACTTATAAAATATTTATACTTTAAACTGTACAGAATACGTATACAAAAGAACACAAACAAAAATACAAAAAAATAGAAAAAAAATCTCTCCATCTTGATTTCTAATACATCTGAAACATTAAAGACAAGAATAAAAAATGTCTACTGTTTACAGAGAAAGCGATATGTAAACAAATAAATAATACTTTTGGAAAAGAAATATTATGCCATTCTTACATGTGTATTATTTAATATTAATTCAAGCCAACATTCATAAATTTTTGAGTCACAATCAGTATATATACATGTATATGAATAAAATGTATATTGTTTATATAGCAACAGGATACATTTACCATTTAACTGAAATAATTATTATGCGTAATTCACATGTTGAGTATTGCATAATTTCACTGCCTATACTGATAAATTATAAATCCATTTGATCATTTTGACCTTCATAGGTCATCTTAGCTTGAGCCATGCCAACAATCACCTGTTATGGTCTGTTATAACAATAGAACATTATATAATGCTGTAACTTTGTATGGAACTTTTTAACTCAATCCCTGCAAACATTAATTTTCTTTCTCTTACATGATTGTCACATAAATCACCCTAAAATAAAAACCACCTTGCCTAAGAACCAAATATGGTCCTAATAGAGGGTTTTACTGAATCATAAACTAATTGACATATATATTATACAAGAATATTTTATTATCTGAAATACTAAAATATAATATGAAAAAATGTAAATCATGAAATACCATTAATCAATTCATCAATATTGTCACTAATTAATAAAATTGCAATTTGTCTTACAAAATGATACACCTATAAATCAAGTATGTTCTCACAACACATGAACACTACAAATAGTATGTTCTGTACTAACATTTTCTCCTATTCTTGATTAAAGTGGCTTACCAAAAATAAATAAAAAAAAAATTCAAACTTCGGAAAAACATCCCTAACAATAACTGTGTTTCATTTCCATCTTGATATTGATATTATGCAATCCATAAAAAGTCAGTATATTTTTCTAATATAATCACAAGTAATGAGCATTGACTCAAACAACTTGAACGATTATTAGGAAACAGTATACACAGATTATATTATGTATATAATTATTGTTGTAATATTTTAACATTTAAATATATTCATCAAAACATATCTTGCTGATAGTAACATGTTAACAATCTCAGAAATAAGAAATAGACTGAATGTATCATTCCAAACAATCCTGCTTGACCAGTGACAATTGCACTGCTGTAAAATTACAACTGTAAAACACTCAACACTCTCATTGTAAATGATAACTGTAATCACATAGCCCACTGTTTACTACTTCTTCTTTGGTGCATAAACATTGTGCTGTGCTTCCTGAAAATAGACAGAAAAAGATTTTTGAAATGACCTTGCTGACTGTGTATAATTCCAACATCCTTTTCTTTTGTCACACCAACATTGTAAATTGGTCATATGGCAAATTTAGAAGTAGATTAGTTAATAAGGATGACCTCATGTGCTTCTCTGTGTGCAGTTTCTACATAGCTGAACTTCTAAACTAAAATGTGAAATGGTCTTTATTTGATTTACTTAATGTGTTACTGCAATCCTAATGGACAAAAAATAATTCAAAGAAGTGATTGTTTAAAACAGAAAACTTTGATTAAATGTATGCCTTATGTGAATGATGAATAGGAACAACTTTTGAAAGTTTTAAATAAACCTAAAAAGGAAAGAATAATTTTATTTCAATGCCAAATGTTGGCAAAGACATGACTAGGAAAGCTTTCCAAATCTTCCAAAAGAAAGAGAAAAGTTTAAAACAGCTAAGCCTTACCCTATTGAAACTTAAAGGACTTGGCATTTGCCTGCAGTCTTACATAGCTCTATACTGTTAGTAACTCAATTTTTGTATTTTTGATACTGAAATCACTTAAACTTTGAATGGACTGTTCTATAATTAAATCATGGAAAATCTATTACACAAATACAGCGGATTACTAGAGTACTAGCTATTAGCAAAGTAAATCTACACACATATTTAAGTTTCACTCTAGGATAAATATTAAAAAAAATGTTTCAGCAAAACATACATATAACTTTAAAAGAAAGCATCTCTAAACAAGAGCACTGCATGCTGTGTTAACGCTCATCTGTAAACCCATTACTTCATGAGCATTTTGTGAAAAATGGCTGTTTTCATTGAAAAGTCTCCCGTTACAAGTTCAAATTGCTATAATACTATTAAAACTGCTTCAACACTAATCAAACTTGGCACAAATGTTGACTGGACCATTGCCCTTGCAACAACATGCTCAGGCTTAAATTTTCTGTTACCATGGCAACGAGGGGACATCTCAAAATTGCCAAAAATCACTATTTTGCGTTGATTTTTTCCATCAAAATTGATTTCAAAGTGCTGCAACTTCTCAATGGATTGAGATAGAGTCAAATGCTTTTCAGCGTTGGTTACACGTTACCTTATGATCAATCTGGGGTCATTTACAGTCTCTCACAAGTCCAAAATTTTCTTGGCGATGAGGGGGACTCCGCCCCCCTTCAAACCCCCCAAACAGAAGGGGGCACATCCCCCTTCTGGCAACCCCCTGATGTATCTTTTGGTTCGGGGGCCGCGCCGAAAAAGAGGTCACTTTTTTTAACAACATTTCTCAAACAAAATCAAGTGTTTGGGGTCTAAATAAGGCATTTTTCATCATTTGAGACAACAAAAAGGGGGGGGGGGGTAAAAAAGGCGTTAAAAGGCGTGTATATGAAGTAATGGGTTAATAACAAATTTCCATAAATAATCTAAGTTAAAAAGAGGCATGACTCCTGAAACAATTTGCAACTGTTTCTTATCAAATATTCCAAGTTTCATGGTGATAGCTTTGATAGTTTTAAAATCATTCTACTTAATAAGCAACTTTGAAATCTTACTAAAAATGTGGCATAACTCCAAAAATATTTCTTTCAGAATAAAAGTCCTTATGCCTTACAACTGTAACTTGTCATAATTAATATTTCATATTGATACCATTAAAAACCAGTAAAGCTTTAGCTTCGAGATATGACCTATACAGTGTTGATGTGACGTAAAACCCAACCAAACAAACAAACAAATACCCTTAATAAATAGTTTTGAGAAATCATTCTACTTAATTTGAGTTTATTGCCAAAAAGGGGCATAACTCCTAAAATATGTCTTTTAGAATTATGGCACTTGCCTTACAACTATATCTGATCATGATCATTAAGTACTTGTATTGATACCTTTAGAATTGTTTAAGAAATGGGCTAAATTAAAATTTTTGCATGAATACAAAGGCATAGCAGCAATCATAATAGCCTCAATCATTGTAGACCATGATGCTGAAGTTTTAGATTTGTCTAAATGCTGAAGTTTTAGATCTGTCTAATTGCCAAAGTTTAAGATTTGTCTAAATGCTGAAGTTTTAGATGTGTCTAAATCATAAATGCTTTAGTTTTAGATGTGTCTAAATGATTTAGTTTTAGATTTGTCTAAATGCCAAAGTTTTAGATTTGTCTAAACGCTGAAGTTTTAGATTTGCATTCCACAGCAGAGATTGCCTCTTATACCTTGTTTCCATTTACATTAGAAGTTAAAATTATGTGTTCCTGGAAAACTATTTTTAAGATTTTAACTGTTGTTAAGTTTGAAGCATTTTTCCTGAGAATTATTTTAAGTCATGGAATATAACAAACATTATAATCTCTTCAAATTTAAACTCAATGAAAATAACTGTTACATTGTTATACATAAATTATGTTAATTAGATATATCACATCTTCACATACATGCAAGTATTAGCCTTACAGAGATGGTATTAGCCTTATATACTATGAAACCTTCATTTACTAAACATAACATAGATAAATAGATGGTGTAACACAACAAACGTTTGATATATCTACAATAAGTTTATTGTCACTATATTAATTTGGTACGGAAACAATATGTATGGAAACAATATGTTTGGTATGGAAACAATATGTTTTGGTGTGGAAACAATATGTTTGGCATGGAGACAATATGTTTGGTGTCGGAACAATATGTTTGGTGTGGAAACAATATGTTTGGTGTGGAAACAATATGTTTGGTATGGAAACAATATGTTTCATATGGAAACAATATGTTTGGTGTGGAAACAATATGTTTGGTACGGAAAAAATATGTTTGGTACAGAAACAATATGTTTGGTGTGGAAACAATATGTTTGGTGTGGAAACAATATGTTTGGTATGGAAACAATATGTTTGGTATGGAAACAATATGTTTGGTGTGGAAACAATATGTTTGGTGTGGAAACAATATGTTTGGTATGGAAACAATATGTTTGGTGTGGAAACAATATGTTTGGTATGGAAACAATATGTTTGGTATGGAAACAATATGTTTGGTATGGAAACAATATGTTTGGTGTGGAAACAATATGTTTGGTGTGGAAACAATATGTTTGGTATGGAAACAATATGTTTGGTGTGGAAACAATATGTTTTGGTGTGGAAACAATATGTTTGGTGTGGAAACAATATGTTTGGTATGGACACAATATGTTTGGTATGGAAACAATATGTTTGGTATAGAAACAATATGTTTGGTGTGGAAACAATATGTTTGGTATAGACACAATATGTTTGGTGTGGAAACAATATGTTTGGTGTGGAAACAACATATTTGGTTTTGAAACAATATGTTTGGTGTGGAAACAATATGTTTTGGTGTGGAAACAACATGTTTGGTATGGAAACAATATGTTTGGTGTGGAAACAATATGTTTGGTGTGGAAACAATATCTTTGGCATCGAAACAATATGTTTGGTGTGGAAACAATATGTTTGGCATGGAGACAATATGTTTGGTGTAGGAACAATATGTTTGGTATGGAAACAATATGTTTGGTATGGAAACAACATGTTTGGTATGGAAACAATATGTTTGGTATGGAAACAATATGCTTGGTGTGGAAACAATATGTTTGGTGTGGAAACAATGTTTGGTACAGAAAAAATATGTTTGGTACAGAATCAATATGTTTGGTATGGAAACAATATGTTTGGTATGGACACAATATGTTTGGTATGGAAACAACATATTTGGTTTTGAAACAATATGTTTGGTATGGAAACAATATGTTTGGTACAGAAACAATATGTTTGGTGTGGAAACAATATGTTTGGTATGGAAACAATATGTTTGGTACAGAAAAATTATGTTTGGTACAGAAACAATATGTCTGGTATGGAAACAATATGTTTGGTGTGGAAACAATATGTTTGGTGTGGAAACAATATCTTTGGCATCGAAACAATATGTTTGGTATGGAAACAATATGTTTGGTGTGGAAACAATATGTTTGCAGTGGAAACAATATGTTTGGTATGGAGACAATATGTTTGGTGTGGAAACAATATGTTTGGTGTAGAAACAATATGTTTGGTATGGAAACAATATGTTTGGTATGGAAACAATATATTTGGTTTTGAAACAATATGTTTGGTATGGAAATAATGTTTGGTATGGAAACAATATGTTTGGTATGAAAAAATATGTTTGGTATGGAAACAATAAGTTTGGTATGGAAACAATATGTTTGGTATGGAAAAAATATGTTTGGTTTGGAAACAATATGTTTGGTATGGACACAATATGTTTGGTATAGACACAATATGTTTGGTATAGAAACAATATGTTTGGTATGGAAACAATATGTTTGGTATGGAAACAATATGTTTGGTATGGAAACAATATGTTTGGTATGGAAACAATATGTTTCAACTATTGACTATTAAACTACTTCACTTTTAAAACATTAAATAATTACAATCATTGGTAGTCACTACTAAAAATACTTATGTAAACTGGACAGACTTGTCATTATATCTTAAACTGTATGGACAAAAGCTGTCAGTAGGACAGTGCTCAATTATAATTCCCAGTGCTTAATAGTAAAACAAGAGCTAGGAATAAATAAAGATAAAGAAATCATTAACATTTTAACAAAAATAACATTAAAGAGTCTTTGAAATTGACCAAAAAAATTGGTAAGTTCACAAAGTGCCATACTAAGGTCAAATTCCATGCTAGAGTTATGGGCCCTGAACAGTGACTTTAAATACTGATCCCAGAGACAGTTATTTAATTTTCAAGTGAAAATCTTTGCAGTAGTTTTGAAGACTTATGTTGCATGCAAAACTTTATCCGGGACTTTCAACAAGGGCCATAAATATGTCAAAATCTTTGTTAGAATTATAGAATTTGGATAATGCCCTTCCATTATGATCTTAAATAAATGTGTGTCACACAGAAATAAAAAGCTTAAAGTGAGATATGATGATGTGCAAGAAGTTGCACACAGAGCTATAACCATGGTGTTATGCCATTTTACCCTGACACCCCGTTAGTACGATATTCCCACTATAATCTTCAAATAGTCCACGCAAAAATAATGTTTTTCAGTTTTTGCAATAGGTAACGCAGAACAATGGAAATACTGCTAAAAAAGCAAGGGCATTTTTATTTCTGCAATTTGTAAATTAAATCTGTGATGAAATTAGATAGCCTAAGTTTTATTTCAACAATCAGTAGCTTTCATTTATACAGGCAGTATAAAACAAAATAACAAATTTCAATGGGTATAAGATCGCAAAGTTTGCCTAAATATTATGCTAGCTGAAAGCAAGGGGAAAGCTCAATCTGATTTATTTATGGAAACAATGCTTTAAATTATTAATTTAAATATAATATAATTGATAGAATGAATTCCAAACACATTGAAAACTTGCATATTTCATCATAAATACCTTAAATGCAGATCTTCTTCCAGTCTACAATGTGATTATACAAAATATTCAGTGTGTGATAATACAAATTATCATACAACTTAATTCTTATTATTTAGCATTGCCTTTGTGTCAGGGTAAGAAAATGTGCAGTACTCAAACCATAAGATCATCAGAACACTGTTTCAAAGTTCTATAATCTTAAGACACTAGCCACTCACACATTTTCTTCTCTATTAGTGATGTGAAGGTAGAATTACTATACCACAACTAGAGTACCATGTTCTAGTGAAAAATATTGTACAGCAGATTATAACCCAATGTGAACTGACTTATAGCTATATACAATCATTGATTCATTGTTGGGTGTAAAATGGCACAAGGTCAAATAAAAGACTGAAGTATATCACTAAGACTCAAACCGTGCATATTCATATCACCATTCTGTAGTTCCATCAACTGAACGCTCGGTAACAACTTCTTTACATTTGCAGAGAATTTTATAATGCTTGCTCTGGTGTATATATAAAAACAACTTGTCACAATTTATATTAATCCTTTGAAGAATATTTAGAATGACAGGTATACAGCCTATTCATGTTCAGACTGGCCTGATTGTATAGACACGTAAAATTATCATTGATAATGCTCAAAATGATAATAATGATAATAGGAATGTGAATCAAAAATTCATACATATGCATGTCTTCTTATTTACTATAAAATTTTGAACTTTTCACTATATTTCTTCTATTCTTTCACCTTTTAACAAATATAATTATATTATAGCAACTTCATGTAGCTTTTTTAATATTGTTCACCTTTTTTTTAATTTCTATATTTTTTTGACAATGATTGATATATAAAATATAAAATCACAAATTTTTACAATAATGTCAACACACATGTGACTCCTTAAACCTGCTGAGATTTAAAGAGACAAACTAACCTGATTGTGTAGCAGACGTTGATAAGCCTCGGCTGGTCTTGGTGGTAAAGGTCGCTTAGACACGTCACGCTCCATATCTTTTGCCAAACTTTAAGTAAATATTATTTATATAAAATTTCTATAGTTCTTGCTAAACAATAATTTATTTAAAGAAAGTTTAATGGAATATGTGCAACTTCTACTTTGTCTTAGACTATGAAGAACCATTATAAATTCCATGACATTTGATGAATACAGTTACACATGACTAAATAACAATAATATAGTGACTAATCACAAGCATATAATATTGCTAAATCTATATAAATCTAATATCAATATTATATGGACTGTATTTAGTCATACATGGCAAAATATAATATTTGATTCTTTACATTACTATATACTGCTTGGCACAAATAAAATGAGTGACCATTTTAATCATTCATGGCTAAATATACTATTCATATTTGTATACATGTATGCAGGGAATAACTGATATAATATTGACCTTTTTCAACCATGAATAAATAGATACATTATTTAGAACACAATACATATCTAAAATATAATGAGATGTTGAGGAAAGTTGGTGTACCTGTAGTTTCTATCTGGAAGTGGTGGTGTTTGCCAATTCTCGGGAGGTGGTGGCAGGGGTCGTGAACTTTCTCTCATAGCTCGTTGTTTACCTGTTTTCTAAATCAAAACAAACAAACAAACATTAAATAAAAACAGCTTATTTCAGCAGAACAATAAAACATTGTGTGCAATAGTTTAGATAGATGACAAGCAGTGATATAATGATGTACTAATATTATCAATTTTTTTTTTTCAAACAAATCACATGAGAAAATTAATAAATAACAACTGCTGCATTTAGTTTTTACACAGGTTAGATAAGCTATTAGTCTAGAAAATATTACTTTTTTTAACTATGAACTATTAATATTTTTTGTTTGCCAGAAATTTTGTCCAAATAATATTTTCCAAAGTGAAAAGCATAATATATTTTGAAATATGAATATGAATATTAAAAATTTCATAAAAGTAAATGTAAGATGTATTTAAATACCTGTCTTTTGATTTGCTCCTCGAGGGTGAAGTAAAATCTTTCATTAACAAGTTCACCATAGTCACATTCTCCTGATTCCTGTAACAATTATGATAAATAACAGATATAATAAAGGGCAATAATTCTGTTAACATTCATGTAAGAGTTGATGATCTTGGATAACGACTGAAATATACAATTTTTGAAGACATGATTGAAGTTTAACCAGAATACCTGTGCTGGATGGACTAGAATAAGATCAACTTTTATTTAAACTGAAGTGCTGTTACATGAAGCTGCCAAACACTAGTCAAGTTTAGATATTTAATTAAAAGCTTGTTAAAATGTTTTTATTGTTTTATTATTTTAAATTGTCAGTTGTCTTTCTTTTTTTCTACGAGTAAATAATTTGTCACAGCAAATTACAGAACTAAATAACCTTTCACATTTTTACAATAAAACTTGCACAGTTTCTTCTAAACCATTGTTTTGGAAACAACAGATGTTCAGATGTTAAAACTTATAGCTGGTTGGACTTTTATGTAGGGTTTAGGTAAGATGTATTACAAAAGGTGATATTGTCCTTAAAAACATAAAGTAAGTTGTCTTTATCTGAACCATACTTACAGTAACTTAAAATGAATAATTTTGTCTTCAGTTTCTGCAATCATTATTTTTACACATTAAAACTTTCCTACATAATCAAAATCTTCATTTGTTTGTAAAGAATACATAAAAGGAGAAGATGGTTTTTTCATTGTCATCTTCCAAGCAACATACCGGTATATCAGATAAGCAGAGCAATATCAGGGTAGTCACTGGGGAATACTTTAAATTATTTGGAATAAAGCATGATGGGAAATTATAGCAGATGTGATTATAGAAAATAACAACTCACATAATTACTCTTCTGAAAGATATTTATAATACAAATCATGCCTTAAATATTTAACAAAATCACTTTAATTCAAGAAGTAAGATATTTCTTATTACTGAAAGCCTAGACAAATTTTAATTATGAAATTTTGGACAAATGTTACAAAGTTGTGCACCAATATATCTCCAGCATCAAATATTGCTCCATACTAAGATATAAAATCCTATATATACATAACTATTTGAGTTCAATTTAATGAACTATACTCTGTACTAAATTCATAAGGAAAACATATATGCATGTATAATTTAGATAACATCAACATCACCGAGATAAAGACATCAAATATTCTTGTTTTAAAATTACGAGAATGAAGGGAATAATCTTATTAGATTTTTTATGTTATTAAGTTCACCAATAACCATGCACTAGTATAGATGACACAACCACACTGTGTATTATTTCATTATAATGTTAAAGCCTATTGTATGACAGTTAAATTCACAACACATACAGTCAAATCAACAATAAACAATCTTATACAATTGTATATAGAAGTTTTAAGAATAATTGTACAATAGGTAGAAAAATGATATGAATTTGGAAATTAAAACAGTGTATTGCTTAGCAATATAGCACAATACAATGGCATAATCAACTAAAAGTTTCTTGAAACCAAAATTTATACATCATTTTGTATACTTTAAGTAAATCTTAATTACACATGTAAACATTGATTAAAACCAGTATACAATATAAACCATGCAAATATTGTCTAATGTATTAAGATTAACCAACCAAAAATGTAAATATCATGAATATTATTTAAATTTGGCATGTAGATGAAAACCATTATGAAACTAAACATATAGAGCAACCAACCAGAATGTAAATATAAACCCAGTCTAATAGAATAATATCAAACATTTCAATCTTGATTGTTGACTACGGTGGCATAAAGTGGCCATCAGAAATATTTTATCTACCATGTGCTTACGCGATAGCTACTACAAGCGCAAGTACAAGCTATTACATGCACACAAAATGTAGCGGCTATCGGATGCAAACATAGAAGCTACCGCATAGTAACTATCGCATGCGCACGTAATAGCTATTCCATGCACTGAAGTACCTATCACGTGAGCATGTGATAGATAAAATATTTCTGATGTCCCCTCTATGCCACCGTAGTTTAAGTGGAACCAGATAAAGATGTTAAACTACACTCACACATCTAAATATAAATCATCAGCCAAAGTGCTAGGCATGCTGTACTATAATACCTGATGTGAACTCACTGCTTGCCATATACATAAAGCATAGAAACTGACAACATCACGTTTTTGAACATTCACATGAAATCAGCCAAGACAATTGGTCAACGCTAAGCAGCAAACATTTAAACATTAAATAAAGGAGGTGAATTATTATCTTCTATTATAACTTAATCACACAAAACTTTGGAGTAAAACAAGTATTAAAATATTGTAATTTAATGTATGATAATATTATTATAGGACCTGATTTGATGCTGCTTCAACTCTTTCAACAAATATTATGCTAGAAGCTAGGCATGGTTTACAGCTTTCTAGCCCTTACCCTGATGATTTTTGTGAGATAGATTTACCCTGTATTAAGCTTGAATTTCATTAGAACTTTAAAGAATTTCAATATCAAAATACAAAATTGAGCAACTAACAGTATAAGAGCCTCAGGTAAGAGGTAAAACTGCATGGATGTGCAGGCTGGCCTGGCTCTATACTGGTGGCAAAGGCGGCAAAGGCAAAAAAATCACTTTTCAGCAGGGTAAGGGTTTAAGTCCTTTCTAGTCATTGTTTTGTGTTGCCTCTATGTAATATGATGGTGTGATATCATCACATTTAAATAAATGTACTTAATGCTTTATGAACCGTCAATGCCTGAGAGAGGTAAAATATTGATAATAATTCCACATCTCCTTTATTAACTTACATTTCGTATCTGTAAACAGTAAAACACACCTTCAATGTATTTATTTTAGTATTGAACCACAATTATTCATACACTTAAATGTTGGAAAATCTTTACTTATTTATATATCAAACTTCAGAATAAGTTTTAATAGACATAAAAATATGCATATAAATAAGAAAATATCCATTTTCATACATGCAGCATTTGTCTTTTTTCTATCCTTTTACATTAAATGTAACCCATTTTTTCCAAATCTCAGACCTATTTTAACACAGTTCTCAACCAAGAACACACAGTCATGATGTCTGGTATATTTTTGCATTTCATTTTCAATGAATGGGTGAATTTTTACACTTTGTACATGTAAATTGTATATGTCAATTTTTTGCTAGAGATAGGATCTAAACAAATTGTGCAAAGGATAAAAATGACAGCCTGACAAGATTACTGTGTTTTTGATGATTTCTATGAATGTTTCACATAAATTTTGCACTGTTTGTGCACCTTTTGCTCAGGACTCAATTCTCAAAGACCTTTCTCAAAGCAGATTCTTTTAAAGGCACAATCATATATGATATTTCTACATATGTATAAATAATTCTTTCTAACAAGTACACTGATTTATAGTAATCATAAATATGAACACATTTTTTAACTCTGAACCTGCTGAATTTGTATAATGTAGTTGCCCTGTTTTAAATCTGGAACAATCCATTTGACATTTAAGGGATTTTGACTGAATATCAAATTAAAAATTGAGCTACCAACAGAAAAACAGAAGTGCATGCTGGCCTAGCTCTAACAATGGCAAATCATTTCCAGTTGCAGCAGGTTAAGTGTTAAATCATTTCCAATGAATGTGAAATAAGAAGAAATAAACATATAAAGACTTACCTGGCCACAAGGTTCTACTAAATATCCATCCCAGTTAGATAATTTATTCTGTAATAAAATATTATCATAATCAATACTTCACCCTTTTCTAACTTTTTTTTTCCAAACAAATTGCCTTAAACTTCATATTTCAAGTCTTAAAATATTGCAACATAGGTTTTGCAAGCTAAATTTTATACTGTTCTACCAATAGATTGTTGTACAAGAAAATATAAATAATAAATAAAGTAGCAAAACACATTTTCTAGTTCAACTGTTACTTTTAATCATATTAAATTTTGTCAAAAATCTGCCTCTAGACATGTTGTGAATTAAAAAAGTCATATTTAATTAGGTCACATCAAAAATTATCTGTATCTAATGGCTGTATATAAAGGCCATCACTACATGTATAAATTTCTGTTGTATATGATGTTTAACATAAAGATTTTTATGTTTATTGTTATGGTACATAATTACTTAATAACATTATTATGTATGTAAATTGTAAATATACTCACATCTTTAAGGTACTCTATCAGGTCCTTCAATGTTTTATGTACTTTACTTTCACCAACAATAATAAACTTCTTATTACGTAACTGATCAATCATATAATGTCTGACACGCTGTTCTGCTCTGTAAAAATATATCATTATTGAATATTGTTACATGTAAAAATATACCATATGATTATTGAATATTTTTACAAGTTGAATGGAAAGGTATTTGGATTTATAAAGTGACATGCCAACACTGTTACGGTCATATGGCACATTTTCAGGTTTACTGGCAGAGGAAGACCTCAAGTATCCTTCAGTGCATTATTTCAGGCAGGAGACAGCACCTGAGAAGTAACAACAACCTTCCATACCCTAGCTAGATAGCTTAATAATGTGAAAGATATGTATGGTGTTAAGAAAAACTCTGTGGGCATTTATGACATATTTGCTGCTTAAGTTATTACAGCTTAGCATATTTAGCCAAACAGAAGTTTTATATCTATCATGTCAAACCAAAGCAGATTTGTCAACCTAACTTGAGCAATGTGAGAATTTTACAAAATTATAAACTTTGTTTTTTTTATAGATTAAATCAAAATTTGTGCATAGCCAAGAGAACCAGTAAAATTACATGTTTATAAATTTTTACAAGTATATAAATTATTAAGCTAAATTCTAAATATATGATCCTGCTTTGATTATCATAAAACATTCTCTATATAAAACAGCTTCAGTCTAATTTGAACGGAATAGATATTTTAAATTTGATACAACATCTGATATTTGTTGTTGTTATTGTTGTTGTTATTTTTGTTTTTAATTGAAACTTACCTAAATGAGAGAGTATATCCAAATCTACTTTCACTAACTCTAATCAGGAATGTTCCAGTTGGTTTCTCCTTTAACAACATCTCTGATTGTCTGAAGCAAATCAACATTTATATAAGATAAACACTCACACATATATCATTATACATGTAGTTGTTTTCTTTAATGACTCTAATACTTGAAATTATACTAAAAAACATAATATCTAATAAACCTTAAATAAAAATTCCATGTTGAATCAAATGATATAAAAGCACTTTTACTTAGAAAACTTATAAACAGAAAAAAACAAAAACAAGAGGGCCATGATGGCCCTGAGGTCGCTCACCTGTATGTAGGCCCCCGGAGCGGGGCCAGTTTAAACCCCAGGGCTTTTATTTGAACAAACTTGGAAGACACCCATAAGAAGATGTTTTATGATGTACACACTTATAATGAAAAACAATGATCTGCCCTCCCCAACCCCCGGCAGGGCAAATTTTATCCAAGGGCTTTTATTTGAACAAAATTGGTAGACACCCATAAGAAGATGTTTCATGCTAAACATCTAAGCTCTAGCTCATTGGGTTTTTTAAAAGAAGATTTTTAAAGTTTTTACTATACACATATAAATAAAAACAATGACACCCCTGGAGCGGGGCTAGTTTTGACCCCAGGGCTTTTATTTGAACAAACTTTTTAGACACTTACTAGAACATGTTTCATGCTTAATATCTAAACTCTAGCTATTTGGGTTTTTTCAAAGAAGATTTTTAAGTTTTTGCTATACACATATAAGGAAAATCAATGACCCCCGGGGCAGGGCCAACTTTGACCCCAGGGCTTTTATTTGAACAAACTTAGTAGACACCCATTAGAACATGTTTCATGCTAAATATCTTAGCTCTAGCTCTTTGAGTTCTTTAAAAGAAGATTTTTTAAGTTTTTACTATATACATATTGGGAAAATCAATGACCCCCCTGGGGCGGGGCCAATTTTGACCCTAGGGCTATTATTTGAACAAACTTGGTAGACACCTATTAGAAGATGTTTCATGCTAAATATCTTAGCTCTAGCTCTTTGAGTTCTTTAAAAGAAGATTTTTTAAGTTTTTATCATATACATATAGGGAAAATCAATGACCCCCTGGGGCGGGGCCAAATTTGACCCCAGGGCTTTTATTTGAACAAACTTGGTAGACACTCATTAGAAGATGTTTCATGCTAAATATCTTAGCTCTAGCTCTTTTGGTTCTTTAAAAGAAGATTTTTTAAGTTTTTACTATACGCATATAGGGAAAATCAATGACCCCCTAGGGCGGGGCCAATTTGGACCCCAGGGCTTTTATTTGGACAAACTTGGTAGACACTCACTAGAAGATGTTTCATGCCAAATATCTAAGCTCTAGCTCTTTGGGTTTTTTAAAAGAAGATAATTAAAGTTTTTTCTTTCGGTTGCCATGGCAACCAGAGTTCTGTATGGAATTAAATTCTTTGAACAATTTTTAAAGATGACCACCAAAGGAATATTCCTGTGAAGTTTGGATGAAATTTGCTAAGTGGTTTATGAGGAGATGTCATTTAAAGTAAAAGTTTACGGACAGACGCCGGACGGACGGATGGACGCCAGACGAAAAGCGATCACAAAAGCTCACCCTGTCACTTTGTGACAGGTGAGCTAAAAAACAAACAAACTTAAGTGATATTTATAAACATGTTCATATGTTTATCATAAAGTAGCACTAGTATATTGTTTTAGATGCCTAAGCAGATACATCATCTAAAAATCTAAATAACCTTTGACTTCCCCCTCCACCCACTTCTCTTTCCCCATCCCCTTGATTGTCAAATGGTATGTCCTGCATTGAATTTGAAACACTATTATGCATTAGCAGGCATTTGAAACAACAATATTTGTGAAGCTTACAATATTAATCTTGTCAAATTGCACGTTTAATATAAACTAGTAGCAATTCACTACTGTACAGCTATATGTATGTACAATTAAGGTTTGTTTGTCATTTGTGGAGAAATTCGTGATTACTGGTTAGTTATCCAGGAGAGTTGGTTAGGTGGACAGACTCTGGACATATGATCAAAAATGTTTTAAAATGGCATAAAATCAAACAAACAAGGAGAAAATTGTTTAACATTATTTCTTTTTATGCTAATTCTAATGTTAATCATTGTTTCCAAAGTTCACATACTTATAATATAGCACAACCAATTACTCAGTATAATGGTGCATTGATTACTGTAAATGATTAAGAATAATAAATAGATATAGAGAAACATATGAAATACCTTCTAGAGATGACACCATGAAACCATTCAGCAATGAAGTTTTGTTGACTGGGATCATAGATTTGTGTAGCTTGTGTTTCCTGGAACCAGCGGACCGAGGCCATCTTGTGACCCGGATGTTGTGTGGATGGTACGGGAATAAATTCATCATCTGATATCTCATCTTCCTCGCTGTCACTTGCCTGCAGTATAAAATACATGTATACAATATTTGTTGTTGTTTTGCCTTCACCCTGCTGGAACCTTTTGCTATCAGTATAGAGCTAGACCAGTGTGCACATTTGTGTAGTCACACAAGGCTCTATTCTGTTTGCTGTATACTGAATTTATTATTACTTCCATTAGTTTGATAAAAAAAAGCTTTTAGGAATACTAAAATCCTAAAATTCAGGAACTGTCCTGAAATATTTAACTAATAAAAAGTGCATATTGAAGCAAAATAAATAAATAAATTCATAAAACAACAAACAATACTAGTATTTATGTAACAAGATATGTCAGAAGGACAGCGAGCTCAACTATTATACTTGATAGTAAAACAAGAATCTGGAGAATGTAGAATTTCAAAAGTTCTACAAGGGCCATAATTCTATCAAAAATCCATGTTAGAGTTATGGGCCTTGAATAGTGACCTCCTAATACCCTCTCAAAAAGTGTAAAGTTTCAACCCATTCCTTTCAGTAGTTTTGGAGATATGAGCTTGCAAACAAAATTTATCCAAAGTGTGTAAGTGCTGATGCTGGGACATGCACAATAGCCTTCTATTCTTGCAATAGTTGAGCTAAAAATGAATACAAAAGTACTATAAGATTCTATTTACAGATGATTGTATAGGAGAAAATACTGTGTTGTAGAACTATTATAAATTACCTGTGTTGCTGAATCAGCGAACGTTTTAGGTTGTAGGTAATCTCGTTTATCTGATGATGTCAAACTTACACCACCAATAGATGACAGATCTCTGTATGGGAAGTCTGGTACAGGTGGTGGAGGTCCTTCTATCAATACACTGTCTGGTCGCCCGAAAAAACCTTAGTGATAATTACAGAAAGTTAATCTGACATTATGCCAATCAATGATATGTCAATAATAATTCAAATCAAGTTACTAAAATTGTTGTTTGTTTCTTTTTGTTTTTGGTATATCTGATCATCAGAGTAAAACAGCTTGAATATCCAAGTTGTTCTACTTGGTTTAATCACTTTGCTGATAAACCTAAGTAGAACAATTGACTAAAAAATACTAACATTGGACAGTAAACAACTTAATATAGAATAGATACATAATTTTTTTTACAAATTCAGAAAGTCACCCATCAATCTGTGAAATAAATGTGTTACAAAAGACAGGTATTCATAAATGAATACTAGTAACTTTTGATTTCACTTGCCACTCATAGGTAGAATAAATCCTGAAAAAATTCGAGAGGTAATAACAAGCTTACTTTGTGGAATGTTTTTATCATTTTGTAAGACTGTCTGCTGTTGAGATATCAGTTTCATTGATAACCCATCAATTTGTGAAAGTAACTCAGCAACTTTCTGTGCCTGTTGTCTGGCCACCTCTTTCCTTCTAGCTGCTTGTCGACGACCAAGAAAACCTCTTGCTATTCTCTATATAAGTATAAAATGTAACAAAATGCTAAGTTGAACTTAAAGTATTTTATAACAAGAGCTGTCTGTAGGACAGCATGCTCGACTATTCTAAGTGCTTGATAGTAAAAGAGCCTTGATAATGTTAAATTTTTTAAGTTCACAAAAGGGCTAATTTTTTTTTATAAATTCATGTTATAGGCCTTAGAGAGAGTCTAATTATACAGTATTGGCTTGACTATTCAGAAGGTAATGTCACAAGGGTGTTTTATTGAGTATAATAATACTAATTACCTATGAATACATAAATTTGACAGAAAAGGTACAAAGGCTTGTTATTAAGATGTTTTATCAAGTAAATCACTGCTTTATTATTAGAATGCAAGATAGAATTATGGATTTTTGTCAGTGACCTACAATTATGACCCTTAATGCATATGTGAAGTTTTAAATAAATATCTTTAATAGTTATTGAGATATGTAAAACTTGCATGTAAACATTTACCAAGAGACTAAGTAGAAAAGGGGATATGAATCAGCCTTAATGCAAGATAGAGTTATGGAACTTGGTCAGTGACATACAATTATGACCCTCCAATTATGACCCTAAGTGCATGTGTAAAGTTTCAAGTAAATATCTTTGAAGACCTTTAACCTTTAACCAAAATTTCTAAGTTTCAAAGGGGCAAACAATTCTGCAAATATTGCAGGCAGAGTTATGCAATTTTGCAAACTGATGTACATTGTTACTATAAAAGAGTGTTTTAAATTTCAATTGAATATCTCGAGCAATAATTGAGATATTTGACTTTACAAAAAAACTTTAACCAAAATTTCTAAGTTCCAAAGGGGCATAATTCTGTAAATATTGTAGGCAGAGTTATCCAACTTGTCAATCTGATGTACCTTGTTACTATAAATAAGTATTGTAAGTTTGAATTGAATATTTCAAGCAATAATTGATCATATTTGATTAATCAAAATTAACAAATTCAAGTTACAAGGGGCTAATTCTTGTAATTATCTGATTAAGTAAAAGCAAGAGTTAAAATCCAACTTGTTCATTCTGTTTACCTTGTTACTAAAGTAGAACAATTGTAAATTTCATTGAAGTAACCAAGCTTAATTAGATATTTGACTTTACAAAAAAATTAAACCAAAATTTTTTAATAAGTTAAAAAGAGGTGCATAAATTGAATATTTGATTGGCAGTTGCCAACTTCATTGGTGTACCTTGATCGAGAAATAAAGTACTTGTAAGTTTTTAATTGTAAGCTGCTGTGTAATAATTTCAGATAATTTCTTTAAAGTAAATTTCAGCAAGCTTCGGCCTGTGCGGCACTTCTTCTTGCGCCGACGCCGACCTCTGGGGCGACTATAAAAGTCTCAATTCTTCGAAGTAGTTATAAAAATTTATTTCATTTTTTTCCCCGATACATCCAAAGAAGACATTAAAACAGTCTCATTATTTTAACATTCTTCAACACATTTTTAAACGTAATGTGCCTCATCGACTATTAGATCACTTGGTAGACATTTAAAAATTTCTGTAATGAGCATGAATAAAGGATGTTTGCTGTATCATAAATTTAAAAGATTTTGCTTTCTGATTATCAACTATAATCAAGTATTAAAATCAAATCATCAGGAAAAAGGAGGTTTAAATGACATAAACTAAATTCAAAGACATTTTTGTGATATATCCAAATATCAAATTTGAAATACTACAGCCTTTTTATTAATCAATTCTTGACTACAAAACTCTTGCAGATATTCATATTGGAGGTTCTTCCCCTTGTACAGTCACTATGACCAGACTACTGTAGCTACATCATTTAACCAGTCACTGAATTAAAGTAGTAAGTAATTGATTATTCCAACCTTTAATTAAACACAAAGCAAGTTCATCATACAAATATGCCTGTTTATTTTGTTATGTTTTAAGTCACTCCAAAAATGTTGATTAGTCTTATGACATTTTCTTTAAAAGAATCCAGCTTTACAACATTAGGTGCCCTTTAATGCACTGTTTCAGGCACAAACTGAGACAGGATTCAAACCAACAAAATTAAGGGGCATAAGATTTGAAGTCAGCTACCTTATCCATCCTACATAAAATATCACAGTAGGGTGCAAGTAACATACCTGAAGAGTAATGGCCGACTTGCCCATCGTTTCTAGTACATCTGCTATCTCATCTATATGGTAATATTTCAGGAAAACCTTTGTCTTGCCCACCTGCCAACCTTTAATACCAGTAGCTTTTAATATCTTAATACAGTTATCTCTGGTACCTGCCAATGTTGGTTTACATAAAATCACTTTGTACCTGAAAATAGTTTTAACATTATCAAATTATGCAGCATGTTTTATTAAAAAGAAGTTGGAAATTTGAAAGTTTTCAGAATATTATTCTTCCCTAAACTTGATTTTAGATAAATAATATCTCTCTTTCCAATACTTCTCTATAAATTATGAGAATATATGATTTGGCCATATTTTGCTCTTTAATTTGACTTGTGTACAATTTTGATAAATTAACTTAAATTTACATTCACGAAAATGATTGATTGCATTTTGTGGCTCACTTAGAATACTTTCACCTAACATATATACCGAATAGGTTCTTCATTAAGAAGACTGCCCTTTCAATATTTTTGTCATAACTAAGTACTAAACAGAACACAATATTTAATTTAAATAGTGCTTACTTGTTAACAAAATCTTCAAAAGAAGGTCTCACTGCAAATCCTTCCCTCCTAATCTTCGTTGTTTCCAGCATGCCAGTGTATAGTAACTATAATAATATGAATAATAATTAATAGCTGTTGGATCAAAAAAATAACCAAAACTAATTATGTTTACATTGTATTTTCAATACTATTAAACATGAATATTGTGTTAAAAATAATCAAATCAGACATTCTACATAAATAACAAATCTGTATCTTATTGTAAGTCAAGAGCAACAACTCTTGTTGTTAAATCAATCGTTTTTTTTGGTGTATTTTTTTTTTAAGTTTTAAGACACAAAGACACCTTAAAGGTAATAATTATGGTGACTTTACAGGTTTACATGTAGAGGAAGAGCTCAGGTGCCACTCCATGCATTATTTCAGACAATTGCAGCAACTGAGAAGAACCACCAACATTCTGTTATAGCTAGCTGGATACCTGTCTAACATGAAATAATCAAAACTCCCTAACATGGTTCTAAACTTGAGAGGCAAATGATTTGAAGCAACCATAATCACTTGGCCACAGATTTCCTCAGTTTTAATAACAAACAAACTTTGGCTTGTAAGTCAATATAAAAAATAAATTCATTTCTCACCTGTTGCTGAATGTACTTCATATCAAATGAACCTGGGGCTTTCACATGATTAGGTTTGAGACAACGAATAAATATGGGCGTGGCAGATGTCATTCTCTCCATCAACACTTGTAGTGAATTCTGCAAAAGAATACAGAACCAATGAAAACAAAAACATTGCTTGAAGTAAGATTATCAAAATATATTATTCTTTTACTTAAAAAAGATAAACCTTTTCTTTTTCATATTGTTTTTTCCCCCTTCAAATTATCAGGTATATCAATATACAATGTACATGGTGATTGACCACCGCTGTATAGATGAGGTAATATAACATTCAATTTTAAATTTGATCACGCAGAAATAATATTCAAAAAGATAGAAGACTTTTATAAGTTAAATAAATGCTTCAACATGGCATTTGTATCATCAAAAAATGTGCAATTACAGCATTTTCAGTTCTGCTGCTGTCTCAATTAACCTTTTACCACATGAGCATATTGTGAAAAATGGCCGTTTTCCTTGAAAAGCCTCCTGTTACAAGTTCAAACTGCTATGAAACTATAAAAAATGCTTCAATACTTAAATTTCCTGTTACCATGGCATCTGGGGGACGTCTCAAAATTGCGAAAAATCACTATTTTGCATTGTTTTTTTCCATCAAAACTGATTTCAAAGTGCTGCAACTTCCCAATGCATTGAGAAAGAGTAAAAGGCTTTTCAGCGTTGGTTACACGTTACCTTAAGATCGACCTGAGGCCATTTTTAGCCTGTCACATGTCCAAAATTTTCTTGGCGATGAGGGGGAACTGCCGCCCCCCTTCAAACCCCAAACAGAAGGGGGCACATTCCCCTTCTGCCAACCCCCTTATGTATCATTGTGATGGGGGACTCAGCCGAAAAAGTGATCACTTTTTTTTAACAACATTTCTCAAACAAAAAACAATGTTTTGGGCCTAAATAGGACATGTTTGGGCCTAAATAGGGCATTTTTTCAGTTTGAGCCTCAAAAGGGGGGGGGCCCAAAAAGCAGTCAAAACACGCATATATGAGGGAAAAGGTTAAATAAAAAAAAACAGTTACAGGAATATTCCTAAAGCAGTTTAGAACAACTGGTCCTTAACCTCAATAAATAAATTTAGATTCTGCATCTTATCTCAACAAGATAAGTATATTTTACTTAGTGTAATGAATTTATCTCAAGTTTTCAAAAAGATAGAGGTGACACAAAACCGATAGACATGCTTATAAGAACACATTAATTGTTTTGGCTAGTTGTTTTCAAATTGTTTAAAAGTGTCTATGATAAATTAAGATACCATTTTGATGAAATATATAAAATTTGCCATGACAATGACAGACAATTTAAAATATAGATATCACATTTTCATATGTTTTCTTATAAATTGATTTTAAGAGATAAAAGTTGTCTATATTTACCTTGAACTGGCCACCAACAGTTAGTTTTCTTTTCCTTGCAGCTTCCAGACTTGGTCTGTGACCCTTAAAATAAAAATTAACTATTACAGTATATTTAGTATGATTATAAATGTAAATATTTCTGACCAATCTTCGATTTAAATTTACCAGAAGAATGTGGTATTGTTGTTTGAAGAATTGCTGTTTCTAACTGCTAAAATCACAACTGAAAACAACATTTTATTAATCACTACATGACTCCTGTATTATTATGCTAAAATATGTAGGTCATTATCTTAAAAACTTTTATCAATAAGATTAGCAGACTTTGTTACTTTATGTGAAAAAAGTCAACAAAAACCATAACAATAAACAATATTTGACAAATGATACTTTACAGTAAATAAATATATAGAGATCTTACTTTTCTTGTTTTTCTAGTAGATTGTCTCCCTTGAAATGCCAAACTACCTGTTCTTGTAACTTGAGCTGCAAAAAATTAAACCATTAACCTACTAGAACCAATATTGATTAGCCTTTACTACCAGTATATAGCCAGTCCAGCCTACAATCCCTGCAGTCTGACCAGTCTCGTCTATTGGTGGTCCCATTTTTGTTTTTGGAAAATGAATCTCTTAAACTTTGAAGTTTTGCCAATTCAAAGCACTGTTAAACCATAACATGTTAGATATTAAAAGGGTTTAAATAAATAAAGATGCTGACTGTAAAAATATAACTATTTGAACATATAGATATTGATCTACATTTACTTGTAGAGGATGTTGTTTGAGAAAGTTCAATTTTCTAAAATAACATATTTTAACTCAATACTAATATTATGGCCATTTTATAAAATAACGAGCAGTAGGTATATTATGCTAGTTGCTACCATTTATATCATTTAATGCCTTGCTGCTGACAGTGTTTAAAGCTTAGTTGAAGTTCAATATTAGATTAGTTTACAGAGGGTTTTACTAGATACCAAACTGTTTTACAACAATCTGTAGCACTTAAACAGTTTCATATTATTGTTTTCCATGTAATATAACCATTTTGTATTTCTTTATATCACACATATATAGTAAAACATTGTTGTGACATCATATAGCCTATTTATACATTTCATTAGAAAAATGGCAAACAAAATCGCCAATAAAACCTCAAAACAAATTTATTTTTATAAATTCTATGCATTTAGTCATGTGCTTATCAAGGTTCTCACATTGGTTTTATATGATATTCTTATTAAACTCAAGAAAATGGACAGAGGCTACTTTTTTGTCAACTCATGTGAGATTCGATATATATCAACTATATACATGTATAATTTACCTTTAAAAATAGACTTGACAAGAGCATTATTGCTACTCTGTAACATTTCCATGACACCAGGGGGCAGTGTATCTCTATTCTTCTCTAACCAACCCTCGCCACTGTATGTAACCTAACAATAATATTATAATATTCTAAAGCTGCATGCCTCCAGAACAGCAAAAATATTTCAATAAAATCAAACTTGAGAAATATGTACTAAGATTTAAGGAAAAGTAAAAATATTCAAGATTCAAGTAATAATTTACATGTTATGTGCAATTAATGACTGATTTTTACATTACTAATGCAGTGAGGACTATTTTTGTTTATTTCATGCTTTCCAGAGTTTTATTGTAATATATCAGATGATTATATTCTGATAAACCACTAGTGAAATTTATAAAATATAATTTTCACTGTAGCTGGACTATATCTGAATGCGGATGAAAAGAAAATCATAACTTAATGGAATAACAGGCAGAAATAAATGCCGTCATACGTAAATTTTGCTTCTTTAGGAAAAGAAAGTCGATGTCCCCATACATCATGTTAAAAATGTAACAATATTAGAGAAATTTAACAGAACTATATTTCAAAATTGATGATGTGACGTCATGATGTGATGACGTCACAAAGGTGAATGCGCGACGTTACGCGGCAAAATTAGTAAAAAATACTTAAAATCACTTAAAAAGCATGAAATAAAAAGAAAATTTATTTGTTTTACATATAAGATTGAAATGTATTTCATTCGTGAACACCAGCTATTATATTTTCACTCGTGGCTATGCCACTCGTGAGAATATTGCATCTGGTGTTCACTCAGTGAAATTATATTTCAATCTTACATGCAAAACAAACAAAATTATCCTCTATATATTTTGTCCTCTTTTAAGTAATTTACGTGGGTTGTAAGACTAGTGCTATTGATAATGTGTAATTTTCTTCCTTTTGGTTATATAACTAAATAATACTTTTAAATACATTTTAAAAATTCTCATGAAAATTAGCATGAATCTGGAGGCGTACTGTTCTAATTTTAGAAAGAGTGATGTGACATTTCCTGAAAGTTGCTAACTTAAGTGACATTTTTCTCAAGATTAACTGAATTGACTATATATTTCAAAAGATTGACTGTTTAAATGGGGATTTTCTAACAGTTGATATTGAAAAATGTTTAGGATAAAATATAATCTGCATAAAATATAAAAAGACTGCTCCACTCTTTTTATGAATTGAACATTTACAGGTAAATTCTGATGGATATTTCAAGACATTTCTGTGAGCCATTTGAGTTAATTATTGTTCATGCTAAGTAAATTATAAAATTAAAAGGTCTGCTAAATAGGGTGAAATGTAAACTTATTTTGACTTTCACCTGTTCACTCACTATATACCCTTGGATGCACATAATAAGTGTCACTTTCTAGATTTCCAGGAATTGTATATAGTTAAGCGATATCAATGCACTAAAAATGACTATGCACAATGTATCATCAAAGTTCAAAAGTAATTTTCCTATACTATTACCTGGAATTTTACAATATAAGAATGGCAGGATATAACTATGATATAAAGTAAATTTGTGATATATTACCTGTCCAGCATAGTGTAATATAGTAAATCTACTGTCTTTACTGCTCTGTGCAGGCTTGTAATATGCAACCTTACCAAACTTCTCATTAAACTTTGCTACTAGTGTCTTCTCTGTTGCCTAGAAACACAAATTATATGATAAATATAAAATGTATAATTTCATCTTAAAATTAACAGAATAATCAATAAATTAATACTTTGAAGGAAAAAAAACTACTTTTATTACATGCTTTTCGGTGGTTTATAGAAATATATCAGTGATATAAAACGGATAATTTCACTGTTTGAAACAGTGAAATTACCACTTTGATAATTTCACTGTTTTGAATTTAAGCCCCTTACGTTGTTTCAGTGAAATAGCAGCGTGCACAGTACTGGGTACCAACTTAATGACGTGACGTCGTAAATGACGTCACGTTGCATTATTATTTGGCGCGCTTTTCTTTAATTATTAGATTTATTGTCTTTTTAAAACGTTTCTTTGCAGGTAATAAAAAGAAAATTTGTTTAGTTTAGTGTAAGATTGAAATATATTTCACCTTGTGAACACCAAAAGTTCATATTTCACTCGTGGCTGCGCCACTCGTGAAATATACCTTTTGGTGCTCACTCGATGAAATATATTCCGATCTTACACTGAACTAAACAAATATACTCTATTTATTTAAATTCTACACTTGTTATTGTTGTTTATGTTAAAGGTTTAGATTAAATACCCAGTTATAGAAAACTGTTCAAACTTGGTTATAATGTTTGTTATATTGTCATAACTTCATTTTCCTAAGGAACAGAAAAACATTTAATCACTGGATGACTGGTTAATGTGAATTGTTCAGAGAAGATATTTGTTGGCAAATCTTACCCTGGGAAATTTACTTTCTTCATCCAGCACTGTCAAAATACCAAGAGGTCTTCCCAGAAATAAATCCTGCAATAAACAATAGCAATGTTATAATCTTTGATCTTCTATTTCAATCAATATCATATAAAACCTTCTTTTCTTTACATAAAATCATGCAGAAAATTAAGAAAAAATAATTTTTTTAGATTTCGTATCAATTATAGTGATTAGATAGATAAATTGATCCAAATAAACTTAAGTTATAATTGAGCCGCATCATGACAAAACCAACATAGTGCGTTTGCGACCAGCATGGATCCAGACCAGCCTGCACATCTGGCAGTCTTATCAGGATCCATGCTGTTCGCTATCAGTTTCTCTGTACTTGTTATAGGGTTTGTAAGCGAACAGCATGGATCCTGATCAGACTGTGCAGATGCGCAGGCTGGTCTGGACCCATGCTGGTCGCAAACGCATTAAGTTGGTTTTGTTGTTACGTGGCTCAATTATATGATAGTCCTCATATCTCTCTTGGATATGATAAACATGAAAAATTGATAATAAAAATAATTTTTTCTTTTTTTTTTACTTATTTGCCTTGTTACATTTGTATATACTATTCATAAAATTCTTCATTTTAATAGGAAGTAAAACTAACCAAGAGTGGTTGATTATCAACAAATTTGATTTCCTTCCAGTCTATACCCTCACGGCTGTATTCTTCTTGTTCTTGTTTAAACACATGCTAAAATTATACATTTTTATTGTGAAAACAAACAGAATAAACAACTTCTCTGTGAAAATTAAAATGATGTATAGTATAAATAAATGATTAACAAAAAATCTGTTGAAATGATATCTGACTCATTGAATCCAATTAAATGATCCAAAATGAATATAATTTCAACATTTCCTCCTATTTATTAATGGCACAATGCTTAATTATTAGAGAAATAAATTTAAGGCCTCAACAAATATTTATGGAATTAGACTTAATAATGAAATCTTAAAATCTAAAACATTTCAGTTCCATATAATTATCACCATTCCTGGACTATAATTGAAAGAGATTTGTTGTTCACTTATTGCAAATGGTATAACTATGAAAGGGAGGTAACTTTGCTGTATCTTACACAGTCCCAAATTTAAAATTGGAAAAGTTAAAAGTAGGTTTTCACACAAAATTATGACAATGACTGGGGATACATTTCATACGCCAATAAAACTTTAAAAACAACATGAATCAACAATCAATTAAAAAAGTATGAGGTGGATTACATGGTTGAAGAAGTACTGCAGCTGTTCATTAGCAAGATTTATACACGCTTGTTCAAAACTGTTCTTCTCAAAGTGTTCAAATCCAAAAATGTCCAGAATACCAATTTCTCTTTGTTCACTATGTGGCACTATATGTGTTGGTGCCAGTAACTGATTCACTTTGTTCACAATCCATCCAAACAAACGTCCATACAGTATCTTAGCAACAGCATCTCTTGCCTCTATAATATAAAATATACCATACATGTTTGTATTCAGTCTTATCAGTCTGTTGTTGTATATGAGACTATTATGTATATCTCTAGTAAACATCTGTAACAAATGTTGGTACATTCTAAAAAGATTTTAACTTCATCTTTATCTAAAAATCAATTTTGAGGATAAAAAAAAAGTATTTTACAGTCCAATAATTAATTACAAGTTGTTATTTTGTGAGGTGTTCAGAATTTATAGACAGGGCATTGGTGGGGTTACTCTTTCACAGGACACAATAGATCAAGCATGGGAATCCATGAAAACTGCAGAACACAACTTTAATATATTTCATAAGCCAATAAAACTTCATACCTTCTGATAATGGAATGAATATAATTATATCATCATCTTCATTTTGTTTTTTTACACAATTAATGGGAATAAGGGGCTCAATGGCTGAGTGCTTAAGATGGCTGACTTCAACATACTTGCCCCTTACTACTGTAGGTTAGAATCCTGTCAGGGACTTCAATGTTTTCATGTGAGGAATCTATATAGACAAGCTTACAGGAGAAAGGTGGTTCTACTCAGGTGCCTGCTCTTGTCTGAAAATGTACCAAGCAGTACTGGAGGATTTCCTCCACCAGCAAATCTGGAAGATGTCATGTGATCATAACAGTTTCAGCCTAACCCATGTGTGTATCATAAAAGGGAGGTAATAAACTGCGTGGTGGTATAACTAATGAACTACCTTCTGCTTGTTGTTTGGTATAATGCCGCGTAACTTGTTCACCACGCGTATGTGTCACAATAGATGTCATAGTTCCTGCCAGATCCTGACTATCCACTCCTAATAATTTCTACAATACAAAAGAGAAATCTCTTTCAATCATCTTCATATAAAAGATACAGGCCATAAAAATAATCAATAATTCAATAATCAATAAGAAATTAATAACATTTAAAGAAACAAAAACACGCTCAAAGCAAGGTTTCTTTAAAGCTCTGTAAAACAAAATAAACAAAAACACGCTCTAAGCATTAGGTTTCTATAAAGTATAAAAATGGTTGAACACAGTTACAAAGGAAACTTACTGCTACAACATCTACTGGCGCCATTTCAGGTATATAGGAGGCATCTTTATCATCCTCTTCAAATGTTATGTTTCCAAGGTGAAGGACACTTGTTACCATGGTGAACATATCATATTGTTCCTTAAATAGAATGTCATAAAATCATGCTTAAAATAATTTAAAATATAACATAAAATTATAATTTAACCCCTAACTTGCTGAACTTTGTTTAATGGGATTTGTCCCATTTTGAATTTAAAACAGCTAGGTAGTCCATTTAAATTTAAGGCATTTAAGTAACGAAATACATAAATTGAGCTACCAACAGTGTAGAGCCTGGCTAGACTATTCGGCCGTGCCCGCTGGCCTGGCTCTATCCTGCTTGTGAAAAGGCTAATCTGTTCCAGTTCCAAACAGTTCAGATTTATTGCTGAAAATTTGAATATATATTATTCTAAAATTGGATTATAAAAAAGAGAAAAATGGGTCTCACAATAGTATATACTTTTGCAGTAATATAAATGTATTGCCATTAGCTAGACCCTCTATACACTAAGAAAAAAATAGAGTTAGCTGGGGGGAAAAAACAACAATAATTTAGTTGTCATAATGACCAAGTTAAGATACCTCATCTGTGAAGCCAACAAGATCTAAGGCATTCAGTAATTCATCATATTTCTTTTTTGAAGATTCTTTATCTTTAGAAACCCCAGCAGTACCACATGCTAAATATCTGAAATGTAAAATTACATTGGTTAACCCTTAACCTGTATAATAATTTCTTAAATGGACTTGTCCAGCTTTCATTTTTTGAAGTTATTCAGCCAATAGTCAGAAAGCACATATGTGCATACAAACTTGGCTTTATACTGGTGGCAAAGACTTTAACCACTTTTGACTCCAGCAAGTTAAAATATCTATTTTTTTCTTCAAATTACAGGGCAAATTTTCTGTAGTGTCACTGAGAATTATAAATGATCATATTAAGAGCTTGTCACAGTCCTATGCCAGTATAATCTAATCTAAGATTAACTACCTTGAACCCATATAAATGTGGAAATTGACCTGGCACCTGACTAATATCATTGATGATCCGTTAGCTAACTGGATACCTTCCTCACATGGAAGAATCCAAATCCCTGTTGGGATTCAAACCAAAAGTGGTGAGGGCCAAGTTAATACTTAAATTCTTTTATAGTGAAAAAATAAATGAATTCATTGATTCATTAAAATGAGTAGAAAGACTAGTTTTTGGCTATAGGTAATACTTAAATTCTTTTATAGTGAAAAAATAAATGAATTCATTGATTCATTAAAATGAGTAGAAAGACTAGTTTTTGGCTATAGGTAAATTTTCTCACGTACCTGTATTTATCATAGAAAGACTAGTTTTTGGCTGTAGGTAAATCTTCTAACATACCTGTATTTATCATAGAAAGACTAGTTTTTGGCTATAGGTAAATCTTCTCACATACCTGTATTTATCAGCAGCAGTAAGACAGAATTGCTCTTGTTTGGATTTTGGAAGTCCTGCCATCATGTAATAAAATATATGGAAGGTCTCTTCTCCTGAACCCTGGTGAACAAGTCGTGATTTCTCCAACAAATACTCAGATATCTTTGCACCAAGAACTATGTTTATAAAATATAATATTAACACTAATATGAAAAATTTATCTTTTGTAGCAAGAATACATGTATAGTGTTTTAAAGCAGGATGATGTTTTCTTGAAAATTTTGAAAATGTATTTAAAAGTATAATATTGTGAAGTAACCAAACAGAAGCAATATACACATTATCAATATCACTTGCAACCCACCCAAAAGAGGTCAAAATATGCAAAAATAACCCTTACTACGTTAGTAACGCAGTAGAAATATTGTTATAAACACTGCAAAATTAGTCATTAATCACACAAAACATGTACTTAAAGAAAATTAAAAGAAAATTGTTACTTGAATCTAGAACCTTTTTTACTTTTTCTAAAATATTAGTACATTTTTCTCAAGTTTGATTTTATTGACATACTTTGGCTCATCTGGAGGCATGCTGCTTTAATTCATGTTGAATATACAATAAATTATTTTTTTCAAGATGAATTCATTATTTTTGGATAGAATGCAGCACAATTAATGTTTTATAGTAATGTACATTATAATAGAAAAAGGTAAACTCTTTCTTTCAGGCTTGAAGCTTTTATATTTTATATCATTTAGTTTGATCTCACTAAATTTGATATCATTTAGTTTGATATCATTATTAGTTTCAACTTTGATATTTTACAGTTGATATCTTTGCAAGTAGTAGATCAAATATAAATCCATAATAATTTTTTAAATCAACCCTTTGAAGTGTTCAGGTTAAGTGTTGAAATTATTTGTATACTTGTATGTTATTTTAAGTTTTGTGACAGTAAAGAAGTGAAAGATTGACCCAAAATTGTAACACCCACTAATAATAATGGTATTTCCAGGCCATTTCCTGGTTCTTTGACAGAGATATAGGAATTGACCAATGAAGGAGCAACAATGTATGTGTTATATATACTACTAATGCTAAATTCTATTCTTACATTTATGAATAATAATCATAATCTTCTAAAATGGTTGAAATTAAATCATTGTCAAATAAGTTCTCTATCTTAATTTTATGTGTATCAGACAACATTTTGTGCCAAGAAGATAGATACAGTAGAATCCCTACTAAAGACCACCTCGGATTTAAGACCACCCCGCTTTTAAGACCAGTTTTTAAAAGAACGGAATTTTCTGTTCTTTATGTCAATGGTTACATGATCCAGAATTAAGACCACCTCACTTATCCACATTTAAGACCACCAAATTCAGTCCCAATTCCTTATTTTGTTCTTTCTTTGACCTCACTATTGAGACCACTGATATTAAAATCAACACCTTCCTAGATCTTAAATGTGTTGTTATGTTGTTATTATCTGCTTGATTGCTCTTAGGCATGACACTTGATTTCACAAGGTGTCAAAAGCTGTTATTTATGGGATATTTAATGAAAAAAGGTGAGAATGTTAATTTCATAGTGGTTTAATGTTGCTTTATGCACATTTGTTTTGTGAAGAAATAAAGTCTGATATGAAATGTGAATTATGTACCTCATACAATAATTATTATTGAAATCAGAACAAAGAAAATTTGATATTAAATTTCTTCAGAAATATGTTTTCTTCCCATCAGATGTAACATTATAAAATATATACTTTTATATTGTATTTGCAGGTTAAGGTACATATTGTTGTACATACAAAATGACTAAAATAGGCCCTGGTCATATCGTGTGTAAGCAATGATAAGAATATCCGCAATTAAGACCACCCCGCAATTAAGACCACTTTAGTCCAGACCCGATGGTGGTCTTAATTGAGGGTTTTTACTGTATAGTACAATTATTATAGCAATATGCTGACAGCTTGTAGTTCATACTGACACCAGATACCATATCAAAATATAGTTGTGTCAGAAATTGTGTATTGAAGTAATAAAATACTGTAGTAGCAAAACACACTAGCATGGGTGTATTTTAGGGAATGTCTTTTTACTAATTCAGGAAGTAAAATTTATACAGGTATTACTTATCTGAACATTACATAGCTTGTCAAAGTTGCATTTAAGATCTAACTGTATTTGTCCTATCCCAGCAAACATGCATATATGGGACCCATATGGGCTATATCTAGGCAAGCCCATATGGGTATGCCCATATTGGACCTATATGGGACCAATATGGGCAAGTCCATTTGGGTACGCCCATATTGGACCCATATGGGTCCCATATTACAGCACTTTAAGGAAAAAACGATTTTTTCGTTTATTTATTTCTTTAAAACTCGTTTACTTTGAGCTATAGTGTGACCACCTTGGCATTAATTGCTATTATCTTATATAAAAATCGTAACATTAACATATATACAAGCCATGAGGGACCCATATGGGTCCCATTTGGGCAACCCGATAAATATTAGCATGCCTGAGCAGGTGCGAGAAATTAATTTGTTTTGTTTTTATATTGGTTTTAATCTTTATAATCTAAATATAAAAATGTGTTTTTAAGACTATTAATTCAGAAATTATTTATAAAAATCAGCATTTGATGAAAAGTTTATTTCGAGCATGCGCAGACGTGATTTCCGCTGCCGCTTAAAATCAAATTGTGTATTGAAACGTTAAATTGTAAAATTGTACACGAAAACAATATTTCTTTTCAATTCGGAACATTGAACAACGATTTTGTATAACGACCTTTCATATTATATCCTTACACATTTATTGTGTGTGTAGGTAAGTGTAAACGTCATTTATTTTTTGTTTTTGCCTTTGCCATGTAATTTCGCGATAGTCGTTTGTCAGTTTAATTTGCGACATTTTCTAGAATTTACGCCCACTATAAGGCACTTTAGCTGACCTATGGATGTGTATAGTTGTTATTGTTGAATTACTTAACTGTGACGGAGTCGACACTAACATTTTAATAATATTGTTTCTATCTAGACAAAATTTTAAGAGATCCTTTTTTAAAGGGACACCATCATTTGAAATCCAGTGACCCCTCCTAGCCTTAGAAGTCCCTTCCATTTTGTACCAATATTTCATTCATAAGCATTTTAAAATATTAAATGCAAATACTTATTATTACAAATTCAAGTATTTTTTCCCCAAGTACCAACCAAGCCCTATGTTGCACAGGCACGAGTATCGGACCTGGGAAGAAAAAAATATGACCCGAAAGATAATTAAACCTGTGTTCATCTTTAAAAGGTCAAAAACCGAAAAAAATAATTGTAAATTATACCCCCCTTTAAAAACATACTTTAAGTTAAGAGAAGGCCAGAAACTCCAGATTCGAGCCTGCAAGCAAGGGATTCACTTCCCGGGCCGTTGTGAAAACAATTGTCCAGACAATTAAAAAAATCTTTTATCACTTTCACGTTTGTATTAAGCTTCCAAATGGGACCAAGTCTTTAGCCCTTCCCGTTTATGAAATATCTATCGGGGAAACAAACGCATTCGTGCTAAAAATCCTTGGTAGACAAAACTGCGGCACAACAATTCGGTACGTAAACATAGACTAGTACATGTTTGCCAGCCGATTACGGGTCATAATCATATTGTCACTTGGCGCAATAACTCACTTAATGTATATGTATTTTATAATTACTTATTAATGTATTTTCATTTTATTGTAAATAGGCCATCAAAAAGGCTGTATGAATCGGATAGTGGCACTGATGAGAATGAGACAGACACAGAGAGTAGGCCACCACAAGTTATTGACCAAGCAACAACGCCCAAAAGAGTCACAAAGCCTACTTTTCATCTCCGCCTCGCTTATCTGCACAGGCATTGCGAGAGGTCAGCAGTGATGTGCAAAGTGCTTCTCCAATACAAGGTGCTTCTGATACACCCTTCCCGTGGGCAGATTATTGGGCCCAGTAAGTATAAACTTCGGAGCTATAAATATATTTATTATTACAGTACATACTTATTAAATGTTATATTCTCAAAACAAGTCAATAAATGTTATAACAAGCTGGATTGAGTGACACAGCCAAAAATGGAAAGTTTCACCTTGTGACGCCCCTAGTTCAAAAAATATTCAAAAGAAATTGATGATTACTTGTGTTAGTCTTTATCATGATGTGAATTTGTGCGCATATTCTTGCCTGACCCACTACTGTTATCCAAAGTTACGGTCCTGGAAGAGTCAAGAATGTTTATTTTCACCAAATGACACGCCTAGGCTCAAAAATATGTTAAGTTTAATTCATGATTTTCTTATCATTTTCACATTTTGTGACCTTGCACACTCAACAATCCTTTTGAGATTTTAGCGTTAATTACTGTTAAAGCCAAGGAAAAATTTAAAATACTGGATTTTTTTTCATTTGAGCCGGGTCATGACAAAACCAACATAATGGGTTTGCGACCAGCATGGATCCAGACACACATAGCTCTAAAAGTATAATGGCCTAGAATTATGAATCCTTTTTTTCAGGCTGCTGTTACAACAGATTCTCCGAGTCTTGGAGACAATGCGAGACAAGAATCATGAAATTAAGAGGATGGTGCAGCGAATGCTGTTTAAGGTCAGCAGCAGATGACGCTAACGCTGCAACTTTCCGAAAGATATATCATTCCCTATTCGTTATCCTGAGCAGATGGAAGCATTCGATAAGCTTCTGGGAGATCAGACAATGCTCTCATCTGTGGTAAGCATAGTGTTAGTCATGTATGTTGCTCCATTAGTCAGTGTTTCTGCCAGAGCGCGTTTTTGGCGCACTATTTTCAGCCATGACGCAATGAAATTTAGTTAGTGCGTATTTTGTGACGCAAGAATTTCACCGTCGCTGATTTCAACACAAGTCAGATATACAGACTATAAACGCGTCAATTCAGTATAAAAATGGTACGGAATGTTTACCGTGGGCTCCACTATAATTTTAATGAGAAATGAAATTTACCGGGTCCCCCCCCCCGTGGTCGGCATTTAGCCAATTTCAAACTAGTTAATAAACGCTTGCATTTATTACGTTACTGCATATATTGAAAGGCCCCAGACAAAATTATTTATTTTGTTGTCGTCATATTCTTGCGAATGAATAACT